TGTTACGGCTAACACTTGATGATTCATGATGATATATACTCATCAAAATTATGAATTCATATTCATAAATAGTAATTGAACTTTGATTACTCGGCGCGTTGATTGTACACTTGTTAATATTTAGTAAAGCATTCAGAAAAACAGATTTCTTTTTGCAATAATTTTAAATAAAGACTATTATAATTGACTTTGTGCTAGTTCAATGTTAGTCAATGATAATTAAATCAACAATATTACAATTTATTTTGTGCTAGTTCAATGTCAGACAATGATATGTAATTCGGAATAATGTTAATGTTTTACAATTACTAATCAAATAATATTATTTCAATCATAATTAATAACTTTTATACATATACATGTATATACATTTTAATTGTAAAAGAATATATTATATTCAACCTGTTAAAACCTAAGTACATTTTTACTGTAAAAATATTGGTAGTGTCACACAGTATAAGTTTTTAATTAATAACGATGAATTTGTCACCGGCTGAATATGAAGAGACCACAATCTATCCAAAAAAATGTGCCCACGATTTAGTGAATGAGATTGTTTTACAAAATAAGTAATGATATACATCATTAATTATTAAAATTAAATATTAATAACAATTATAAATATACAGCAATCTCTTATGCTGTATTAGCATCTGGAGCCCACACCCTGGCCCATAAACCATCTGGACAACAGTGTTAGCCACAAACACAAGCGCATCGTTGGGGTCGACGTCTGGCCAGAAATGATAGCATTTGCCGAACAAAACCACAAACCCATGGATTCCGTCCAGTATTTGATTCAAGACTTGAGCCAATCCTGGGATTCATTGAGTCCTGAGTTGAAGGCATTGGAGTCTAAGGTATCGCTAATTGTTTCTCAATTTTCCATGCAATTCATCCCCGATAAGAGCCGACTAATGCATGTCGTGAGCAAACTATTGGCCAAAAACGGGGAATTTGTGGCCATTTATATCCGCGCACCGGATGTCATGTCATTATTGACAAGCGAACAGATCAAACAATACAATATACAAGTAAGTAATTAAATATTTTATGTAAAAATGTTTTAATAAACACCACATTATAGTTGCAAACAAAGAGTGAATCACAACAATTGGATGAAATACAGACGGCGTGTTCGGACAATGGCTTAAATGTGACCAAGGTTGATGTCAGTTTGCTCAAAAGCCGTGTCAACAAATACGCCATCAAAGGTAGGGTTTATTATAGTATTTAACATTAGTTTATATCAATTTTTTTATTTAAAATAATAAAATCAATTATCTCTCTCTCTCTCTCTCACTCTGACTCTTATTCCTTTTCTCATTAATTTTGTAACTCATATACAGATTATGTTCAGTATATTCTATTTATTATTATAGCCGACACAACCGGTCCCACGAATTTCGGTTTAGCTTTTCAAGTGGAGGACAAAACTTCCCCATTGTATGCATTCATGCGAAACATAATGTTTGACATAGCGTTACGTCCGGACGCGACTGCTCTTAACCCTCACGCCTACGACCAGTTGGCCCACAAATGGGACACAAACGGACCCGAAGTTCCCACTTATTATCACAGCATACATGTTGAATGTTATAAACTTTAATTATAATACTCAACAATTAATACTAAATATGATAATAATCTGTAATAATCTTTTGTGTATTCTTTATTGAAAATATTTTGATTTAAGTAATTTTCAATTTAAAAAACACATGATTGATTGTGATTATATTTAAGTAAATAAATGGAATTAAAAAAAACTACATGTTTATTGGCCATCATGTCTACTTAATATTATTTAAAATATAATAATCTACTGAGATTTATCATAATTAAATTTATTACAACAATATATAATTAGGCTCAATATTAGTTAAATAATTATTATTAAGAATATAATTTAAAATTTAATATTCATCAGCCAATTGGAAGCTGACATTAAAATACAAGATGATAATAATTTCGTGCAACTTATAAACATAAACATCATTATAATCATGAGTGCAAACACCGGCACATAATTGCGGTCATTGTGTTCACTCATTAAGCAATTGTTGGGTCAGTTGTTGTCGTTTTGGACTCTCGGGTGACACAAACCGGAGCGGAGGGTCTGGACGTGAAGACATTGTCCGAGTGCTACGGTATAGACGTGTTGGCCCGCATTCCGGTCGGCACAAGCAAACAGATTATACAAATAATCTAAATGTAGATCAATATTATTTAAATAATGAAATCAATATACTGTAGAGTAGCTTATAATAAAAAAACATTTAAATAATTTTAACAATTAACTTTATAAGATTAAAAATTAAAAATATAAGTTTACATAACTATTAAATTAAAATTTATTCAAATAACATACATGTATGTTATTTGAATAAGTATATTAACAATATTATTATTAACAAAGTTTAACTTAATTTTGTTTTGCAAATTATTATATTTTTTAATATATTATATTCTGTACAAATGTTTTGATGAGTTTAAACGTGCATGCTCAAGTGTATGTACGGCTACTATTTAATATGGTTAAATATAAATGTTAAATACTGTATGCATGTGGTATCTTAATAATTTATCCTAATAATTTAATTTATGCACAATTAGAATTTAATAAATTCAATTTGTTTATATTAATTTAGAAATAATCTAGAAATATTAAATAATTATCTAATTAAATTTGCCCAATAAATTACATTTTGGTAAATTTGATACTATATGAATCAAACATGATATCAATCATTGATAGTGTTACTTGTTGGATGTACCTTAATTTTTCGACATGGAATATCGTAATCATCTAATAATTATGTAACTTTTTAACTTATGTTATGATTCAATAAAGTAATAATAATTACTAACGTATTAATATTATTATCAAGGTTAGTGCCAAAATCTGTAAAATTAAATAAAGATGTATTCGATGTATAAATACATGATAAAACATTTGTGTAGCACAATCTCGTAACGATTAGCAATCAAAAAAATAATTTTTAGCTTTTAAAAATAAAATTTACAAATATGCATTGCACTATAATTATTGTAATATTGATTTGCCTGGCTATTGGTTTGTATTAAATATATTAATATATTTAAAAAATTATATTATTAAATTATATTATTTTTCTAGATTTGAGTTTTGAAGATGGTGTTTCAAGTAATAGCGAATATTAAATGTACATGATCATAAGTTTAATTGTAATAATAATTGACAGATATAGAGCACCCATTCATATGGAGTGTGAACTTTCACGATTGTCAGGGTAAATATGGTGGCAATTATACGTTCATACAGACAACTAGTAGGGATGTGCTGTGCAATAGACCTAAGGGTTGGCGTGCATTTAACCCCGGTCATAATCCGGTCAATTACTTAATTAGAAATGACAATGATCACCAATTAACCGTGTACAGTTTGAGTGAATTTGCCACATCAGTATATTCCGAGGGTGGTAAGTAAAGTTTACATTAATAAGTTTGTTATGTAATTTTTTAAAAATATACTGTATAATTAATTTAAAGCATAATTTATATATAATATGAGTTGTAATGATAGTAATTATTTTAATCATGATTTTAACGTTTTAAAAAAAATCATCTAGCTAATAGTCACTCGGAGGCAGCATTCCTGATAAACAGCGGTGATTTGCAGGGAAAATATCTATACGACCGGTTTGTTTACCAAGATTTTGATTACGAGAAGGTGTGTTCATCAGTATTGGGCTATTCGTACGTTACGTTCAGTAGCGCTGAGCTATTGATCGCGGATCAGCTCGGGTTAGATGTACTGATATCGCCAACCGGTGCTTACGAGCCCTTTAAACGCCAGTGCAGTACAGTGTGTAATGGGAAGGGTTGGGTTGCCGGACATGGACTTAGTCCTACGAGTTAGTGTAGTCCACTATTATTGTATTAATAATGATCATGTTAATATAATAAATGAGAATTTTATGTTTTACAATTAAATGAATGTCAATTTTATTTAATGAGTTTAAATTAATTTTAATAAAAAATAGACTTTAATATAATAATTATATTTCGGCCGCCAACTGGTCGTAGGCGTGAGGGTTAAGAGCAGTCGCGTCCGGACGTTAATTTTCAATTATAAGTAATTTATGTAGCCTCAATTAATTTCTTCATCACTTACTGTTATATTATTGTGTAGTATCTGTTCGTCGGTTAACATTGAAATCACGTCAGGTTTTATGGTATAAATGGCCATAAATTCCCCGTTTTTGGCCAACAGTTTGCTCACGACATGCATTAGTCGGCTCTTATCGGAGATGAATTGTATGGCAAATTGAGATACAATTAGCGATACCTTAGACTCCAATGCCTTCAACTCAGGACTCAATGAATCCCAGGATTGGCTCAAGTCTTGGACCAAATACTGGACGGAATCCATGGGTTTGTGGTTTTGTTCGGCAAATGCTATCATATCTGGCGAGACGTCGACCCCAACGATGCGCTTNTCCATGGGTTTGTGGTTTTGTTCGGCAAATGCTATCATTTCTGGCGAGACGTCGACCCCAACGATGCGCTTGTGTTTCACCGATTGTGACAACAGGTCCGCCAAATACCCGGTCCCACACCCGAGGTCTACGATTATGTCGTATTCCCTGCACAACATATAAATATTAACAATAATTTATAAGTTAAAATGATCAATTACTACAAATTCATTACTTATTTTATAAAACAATCTCATTCACTAAATCGTGGGCACATTTTTTTGGATAGATTGTGGTCTCTTCATATTCAGCCGGTGACAAATTCATCGTTATTAATAAAAACTTATACTGTGTGACAATACCAATATTTTTACATTAAAAATGTACTTAAGTTGAAACAGCAATATATGATATAATCATTCATTATTAGAAAGTACAAAAATACATTATTGTCTATGAGGGTCACAAAAAATAGGAAGCTGTACGGGGAGCGATGGTTAACGGATAGGTAACGTTGTTTGTGACGGGCTGTACTCAATTACATGCTACTAAATCATATGATAATATATTATATTCCTTTACAATTCAAATGTTTATACAGTATATATACTGTATATGTGTAAAATTCATTAATCATGATTGAAATAATATTATTTGATTAGTAATTGTAAAAACATTAACATTATTCTGAATTAAATATCATTGTCTGACATTGAACTAGCACAAAGTCAATTATTATAGTGTTCATTTAAAATTATTAAGAAAAGAAATCTTTTTTTCTGAATTCTTTACTAAATATTAAAAATAATTATAAATTACTACACATTTACAGTATACAATATACTTAATTTTTTACCACATTAGTGACCAACTCTTGGTTAACCAGAATATATGCATCACAATCACACTTTCATATTGTATGCTGACTAACTATCAACTGACCAACTGATTATCATTTATTGTAAAATACAGTATATTAAACAACAATTATTACAATGCATATAAATAAGGATGTTGGTTGTAATTTCGTTAATATTAAAAATGATTTATAATTATCAAAATAAATTCACTTGTTTATTAAATGAGATTTTCAATGACAGAATAGATATTTACAATTATTGTAAAATAATAGAATAATGTTATAAAAATTAAAAGCAATTAATATATTACGTTAAATTTATTGTAAGCCGTATTTTGTCAGTCATTGCATTTCATTATAAAGAAATCAATTTATATTTATTACAATTAAACTGAATTTTTAAATACATTTTACAATTAAGAGAGTTTACTGCAAGTAACATGATTTGCCTAACTTTGTTGTATATTACAAAAAACACCAATCACTAGGGTAGAGGCTAACAATTTATCTAGGTAATAATTAGATCATCTATAAATATTTATGTTAATAAATTTTTATTCTCAATTTTAATGTAACATAGAAATAACAGTTTAATGTATAATGGATATTATTACGAAATTTATTTTAAAGTTTAAATCTTTTTTTTAATAAACATATAAAGGTTTGTTCTTTGAATACATTTAGTCATATCATTATAATTAATGTTCCAAATTACAAATGGTGTATTTAAAATAAGTTCATGGTCGGTTACATAACATAACATATTGTAATGAATAAAATATAAAATTAATTTCTTAATATTTTAATATTATTTTAATATATTTAAATTCACAATAAGATTGTTTACAGATGATATAAAATAAGTTCATGGTCGGTTACATAACATAACATATTGTAATGAATAAAATATAAAATTAATTTCTTAATATTTTAATATTATTTTAATATATTTAAATTCACAATAAGATTGTTTACAGATGATACAGATTACTGCAATAAAAATGAGTACAACATGGGTAGGTTTAAACTTAAATTATATCTTAATTACTAAACATATTTTATTGATCATTATATCAAATCAAAGATTAGAATATAAGGTTTTCAATGATATATCATATGATATATTTCAAAATTTGAAAATAATTTTTGTTGATAAACAAAGTTAGCAAAACATAATTCAGCTAGAAATTTAAGCAAAGGTCTGTAATTTACTCCTATTAAATTCGGGTTTAATTCGACCAAGCTGTCAATAACGTATTTTTATATAGAATTTAACGCTTAAAACGATTATAAAATTTAAAAAAATTTACCTCAAATACTTTACGAAATATATGGCCACAAAGCCACCGCGGATACAAATTATTTGGTTAGGTTTGAAATTGTCTATGCTGTTATAGGCTTATATGGGTTGACCCTGTGTATCCAAAACAAACACCCGCAAGATCAAACATTTAATTGTGGCCAACCACGGCAAAATTAATTATTGGTTATATTTTTATTTTAAAGTATAGATCTAGTGTGGTTTGTAATCCAATTTTTGTAATAAAATATCTAATGGTTTTAAAAATATAAATTTTTTTAGAAACTCATTTTTTCTGCAGCAGTCTGTATAATTATTATATTAAAGTCTATTTTTTATTAAAATTAATTTAAACTCATTAAATAAAATTGACATTCATTTAATTGTAAAACATAAAATTCTCATTTATTATATTAACATGATCATTATTAATACTATCCAAAACAAACACCCGCAAGATCAAACATTTAATTGTGGCCAACCACGGCAAAATTAATTATTGGTTATATTTTTATTTTAAAGTATAGATCTAGTGTGATTTGTAATCCAATTTTTGTAATAAAATATCTAATGGTTTTAAAGATATAAATTTTTTTAGAAACTCATTTTTTCTGCAGCAGTCTGTAGTGTACATCTAATGTAAATCTTTACATCTAATGTAATATCGTATCTAAAATCAGAAACAATTACTTCTGAAACACTTGCCGGGGATTTGTTTCTTAGTAAATTAGATATTATACTAAATAATTGATTATATTGTTCAAAAATATGTGTTGAAATATTAGATAAATTGTTTAATGTAAAATTATATTCTCTTAAAATATTACAGTATTATAAAAAAATAAGATGCACTGTTGGGTAAAACGCGCTTATTACAGGGGGTTTGAACAACACCTCCAACATATACAGTATTGTTGATAATTATATAAGGAGTACGTAGGGGTTAAAACAAAGAAAGCAATAGTAACTAGAAGGAGAAAAAAGGCTTAATGTGTTATACTCGCTTGACCCCAATTCCAATGACTCCAATTCCTGTCTACTCATACACACCTGTGCGCCCATTCATAGCGTTGAGTCGCGGGGCGGTCGGCGCCCCAACGTTATTATTACTAATCAATAATTATTACACACAAAGTTTATAGCAAACTATACTTTATTAACTTTACACCAATACTAAATATAGGGTGTACATTAATCGACTATAACATTTCGAAGTCGAATATCTCGAAATATATTCGGTCTAGAAATTTAAATGATATATCAAAATACTCATCAACTGCGGGAGTTTTTGTTATGATATGGTCACTATGCTTAACCTCTTATTATAGAAGTAATATCAAAATTACCAAATTTTTGCCATTTTGTCCATAGTCTCGCGAATGGTCCATTTCACAATAATATAGTCACGTGACCAAAAATATTTGTATGTGCAAAATATTTCTGACTATGGAACTATATATTTGTGAAGTGATTGTTTGGAAATATACAAATAATTTTTTTTCTAAATTTGAAATTTTATTTAAAGCATTATTATAGGTAATATGTAATTTGACAATAAAGATACAATGTAATTTTAACTCTTATTTTTAAATAATTGTATATTGGTAGTGTCACACAGTATAAGTTTTTATTAATAACAATGAATTTGTCACCGGCTGAATATGAAGAAACCACAATCTATCCAAAAAAATGTGCCCAGGATTTAGTGAATGAGATTGTTTTATAAAATAAGTAATGAATTAGTAGTAATTGATCATTTTAACTTATAAATTATAAGTTAATAAGTTGTAAGTTATAATTATTGTTAATATTTATATGTTGTGCAGGGAATACGACATAATCGTAGACCTCGGGTGTGGGACCGGGTATTTGGCGGACCTGTTGTCACAATCAGTGAAACACAAGCGCATCGTTGGGGTCGACGTCTCGCCAGAGATGATAGCATTTGCCGAACAAAATTACAAACCCATGGATTCCGTCCAGTATTTGGTCCAAGACTTGAGCCAATCCTGGGATTCATTGAGTTCTGAGTTGAAGGCATTGGAGTCTAAGGTATCGCTAATTGTATCTAACTTTGCCATACAATTCATCTCCGATAAGAGCCGACTAATGCATGTCGTGAGCAAACTGTTGGCCAAAAACGGGGAATTTATGGCCATTTATACCATAAAACCTGACGTGATTTTAATGTTAACCGACGAACAGATATTACACAATAATATAACAGTAAGTGATGAAGAAATTAATTGAGGCTACATAAATTACTTATAATTGAAAATTAACGTCCGGACGCGACTGCTCTTAACCCTCACGCCTTCGACCAGTTGGCCGACAAATGGGACCCAAACGGACCCGAAGTCCCCACTTATTATCACGGCATACAAGTTGAATGTTATAAACGTTAATTATAATACTCAACAATTAATACTAAATATGATTTTAGTTGTAGCAATTTTTTGTGTATTTTTTATTGAAAATATTTTGATTTAAGTAATTTTCAATTTATAAAACACACGATTGATTGTGATTATATTTAATTAAATAAATGTAATTTAAAAAACTATTGATATATGTTTATTGGCCATCAGGTCCACTTGATAATATTTAAAATATAATAATCTACTAACATTTATTATAATTAAATTTACACAATAATATATAATTAGACTCAATATTAGTTAAATAATTATTATTGTCAATATAATTTAAAATTTAATATTCATTAGCCAATCAGAATCTGACTTTAAAATACAAGATGATGATACTTTTGTGCAACTTATAAACATAAACATCATTAAAATTAGACATGACCATGGTATGTTATAACAGCTTATCGCAAATTAAACATTAAATTACAACCACTCTTCTAGTAATACAAAACATATTGCATCGTTTTGTGATTATTGTTTAGATTAATTTTTGCATGTGCTATGTGAATATTTTAAAGGTGTATATTTGATACATCAGTGTTCTTAATTCTATAAATTATAAATTATTATTGCAAGGATCCGGATTAAGATTCAACCTATTATGTTTTCAAATGGTCCATTATTCATTATTAAAGTATTAAAACATAAATTTTAAATATATTTTTTCAATCATATTTCGCTTTCTTTACTAAACCAACAAATGACAGAAAGAGGAATACAAATCCCATTAATAACAATACAATTGGATCCCAATATAAGTTACTTTCATGAAATCCAAGCGAATGAATAACATTGAGTCCATTGCCATAACATTGTCCTAAAGATTGACTGCCATTAATACACGGAATATCATCGATATATTGCCATTGGTTTACAACAAGGGATTCGTACGCGTAGTGAAGAAAATCCAAATATTTGACCCAAACTAACCAATCGGGTATTGACCTGTCATATAAATTTGATCATTTATTTAATGTACATTGTTTAAAATTGTATACAACATCATATAAATACTTAGTGTTTAGAAAAAATCCAGCAAATAATATGGAAATATAGCAAAATGGTGGCAATGCTGATAGTGCAATCAAAATGTCCGGGCTTAAAGTGGATATCATGTAACCTTAGGGTTGAGATTAATATAATATATTAGAATAATGCTAATAATGATTGACAAAGAAATAACAATTACAACTAACCCATACTAGATGCACAAAATACGACCATCATGTTTATGGCTATGAACGTAAAATATACCCGCGGGTCGGCATTGAGGCCAATCACGTAATAGACAATTAATACGATAAATAATCCCAATATCATGTAATACACCAACTGTTATTAGATTTAACATTTAACATATAAACATTATAATAGATAAGTTTTAAATGTTTTTATAAATTGTGCATAATGCAAATTAAATGTAAGTGCTCCTAATACAATAGAATATATTGTAAGATGCACCTTTGTTAATTAATTCATGGTAAGATTCAATTATTATAATAATTAGTTAAAATACCTGAAAAAATATTGTTGAAATAAAATAGGGTAAAACTCCATAAACACGTTTGTGATATTCACACTTGAATATAGAGATTCCGGAACAGAATGTCTACCAAAACATAAAACTTACAATTAATTATGAAATAATTTTATAAAAGCGATCAAGTAATTTTTTTAATTTTCACTGACCTGAACACAAAATATTGAATATAAATTCGTACTAAATGTTAAGATAAAAAATATGGAACCATTGATGTTTGTTATTTCAGATGAAATAGCATATTGTTTATAATAGAAAGAGCCCATTAAAAACATGAATATCTATAATTTAAGAAATGTACATTTTAGAATATTTGTTAATTGAACAGCATTTATAATTAGTAAAACTCGATTATTAAATATTTAGTTATTTCTTAATTAATTTATAGATTAGTAGAGTCTGAGTACAAATGTAATGATTAATGTTAATAATGATCAATTGATAATGATAATAATGATAAGTGGTGGCCCATTATTAGCAAGTTCATTATAGCTCATTGATGTAATTAATTATAAAATTTTACAGAATTATACCCATATATTATAAATACAATACTCCATTGACTTTATTTACAGAATGTGGATGATTATTTAATAAAGTAAGATAAAATAATAAGAATAATGTTAGAGAATACTGTACACAGAGAATAATGTTAAATATTTATCATGCATACACATTTTATTACATAAAATCGTGAATGTGTCTTAATTACGAAAGACCTACCATGGCAGAAATCATCTCGGTTGTCATTTTATTATTTCTAAGAGTTAATAGGTATGAGCGCCACAATAGGGCCCGCATTTGAGCCCAAAAGCCGTACTCGTAATGAGTCAACTGATTTGTACGGTTGCACTCATTCTGGACGCCAAATGTATGCCTCGTTTGGCATTCAATCTCATTATTGCCGACAGATATTTGAGGACAAAAGCTTGAGATTAAATAATTGTCGCATATTTTCTACAATAAAATCATTCACTTAATATAGTAATTATGCACACAAATGTATACTGTATTTAAATGTAACAAGGACATTATAAATAATATACCCTACATTTACTTTCCTTTTTTCTTCCTCTAAATTATCCGAAGTAATGGCTATTAAAATAAATAAAAAATATTTAATTAATGATTAATTAATACAATAATAAATACAATACATACACAATTCGTTCATATAATAATCAATAAGATTATAATTTTGAGGGCAAAACTAATTAAATTAAAATTGTTGATAAGTCATATCTAATAGATTATTTGATATAGTCGTGGCGTAAATATATTGTGTATAAGAATGCAAACTTGAATTATAAAAATAATTTCATAATTATATCTACAATACAAAGTAGTATAGACTCGACTATACTAAATAACCAATTATTTAATTAATTCATATTTAATTAATATTAAAACTATTTTCAAATGCTTACAAAACCGAGTGATGAGAAAAAATCTTTTGCTTTGTCTGAAAATATTTAATATTTAATAAGATATTATTGTAATTTTAAAATTAATTTCTAGTATATGTCAAAAATATGTTAAATGACAGACCAGTTGTGCCCATAAAAGCTACCCTTCCGTCGGCCATAAGTAAGATGTGATCGAAGAGAGCGAACACTTGAGACGAGGGCTGATGTATAGTACAGACTATAGTCCGTCCCTCCGATGCCATTGTCTTCAATGTCTGCACAATATTTTGGGCCATAAATGAGTCCAAACCAGTCGTCGGCTCATCACTCATATATTTAACATTAAATAAACATTATAACTTATAATTGTATAATTATTTTTAATTTTACTAAAAATATGATTGAGACAGATATAATATTTTAATAACTGTTATTATTTAATTTTATGCATTGAAATATTTAATTTTAGCTTATAAATCGAGATATTTTGATAAAAACCTAGTTTAGGTCCTAGGACATAGAATTTAAGTTATGATGTTTAACATTAACTTAAGAGATTTAGGTAAAGTAATGTGTATCTTACCAAAATATTACGGGAACATTTGATATCAACTAAATATATAAAAAAATGAAATGTAAATTAAAATATGTAAAAATAAAGAGTATTTTTTTAATAAATTAAAAATAACATGGCCACTATTTCAATATAAATTTAACCCTTCCCATGTAGACTGGCCTATTTTTAGTGCTGTGCAACTTTAAAAATTATTTAAAAATAAACGGATGTCAATTGTAAAAATAATCCAGGAATGCCTCAAACACACTAACATTTAAATATTTGTAAATTTTTAGTGATTAAAATTATTTCAAACTATAATTAAATCAATATTTTAACTATTATTAAGCCAGTATACGCGTAACGTAACTTTATTTCTCGTAGTACAACACAATGCTTTTCACAGAAAGTATCTATTTATAGGCCAGTCTACACGTTACTCGCTGGCCTTATTTTAGGGCCAGTCTACACGCTATAGCATTGAAAATGGTAAAATCGAAATACGCATGCGCGAAAATATTCAATGAAAGGCAGTATAATATACAATGCTATGGCCTATTTTTAGTGCCAGTCTACACGACAATTGTTAATTTTTTAATAGGCCTGTCTACACGATACTTTGATATTTTCACTCAACGCGGGAAGGGTTAATAATAATAATAAACTTAACTTGTTATACAAAACATTACAAATGACCATGATTATTAACTAACATTAATTGAACATGTTAAATTAACAGTTTATACAAACCTCTGATGCAAACGACAATCTCTTCATTTCTCCCCCAGAAATTCCTTTAAACTCAAAGTCGCCCCCAATTTGAGTGTCCATACATTTACATAAATTATACTACAATTTACAATAAATTAAATTTTAAATTGTAGTGTAAAAATAAATGTAAATGACATCCTTCATACTTTTATCATCAATTGGTCGACAAAAGTAGTTCTCTGGTCTTGTGTTAGACATCTATTCATTCGTAACAATGACTAGAAATTAATTGCAAAATAAAAGTATTAATTTTAATTGTAATTTAAAACACACGACAAGTACTTGAAAGACGAGATGCTCTCTAACTGTAAGCAACGGATGAAACAAATCGTGTTGTTCTATGTATGAGGAAAGCGATGCCATTGTCTCCGCACTGACCGCCTGTCCATTCAATAGCACCACTCCTTTCACCCGTAGTTTTGATAGGTTTCTGGCCGTCAATACATTCAATAGCGTTGTCTTTCCGGCGCCACTGTATTAACGGGTAAACCAATACCTTAATAATTTGATCAAGGTTATTCAAAATGACACAAACCTGGCGCCCATTATTGCCAACAATTGACCACTTTTTACTTCACCAGAAACTGGATATTATTTTATTATTTTTAATGTTAATAAAAGTTAATTAATTGTAATCTAATATTGATTTATAAATAAATAATTAAAAATTATTACTATTTTTGATGATTTCTGTCGGCGTTTCTCCACTTCGATAGCAATTATAAATACTTTTCTCGCATTTCGTAAACACCTGTAGATTAAGCCACGAAAGGGTCACACTTTGGATGCCTTCACTTCTATCCACTCGACTATTATTTATTTCTAGTATTACTTTCATTTCAATAGTTTTATTAATGATTTATATTTTAATAATATATTATTCTTAAAAATATATTAAAGTTTTTAATGCAATATTAAAATATACAACGAATTGCTAACTAATCAAATAATATGCAAAGTCAGTCAAAATGATAAATAAACAACATGAATTTTGTTTTAATTATCAATAATTGTTAAATAATAATGTTTTTACTCTCATGTTATAAAGTTTGCACTATTATAAATACTTCGTTTCTGGTGCTTAAGAACGTTAAGTTAAGTTATAAGACTAATTCCACAATTTAAGCTACACTATTAAAACCGAGGGCCGGCATATCAAATATACTAATTTAATAAATAATTATATAAAGTATAAACCTTGATCGTACAATTTATACAAATTAATATCAAGATAAAATTAATTTATTAGTATAAAATGAAATCTTTATACTGATAAAGTAAATGACTTTATAATAATACGAGGGCATTCCGCGACCCCCTCCATCTCCCGGACACTTTAAAACTTAAAAATTATGCAGTTGTGCCCTGCCTAGTCTTGACTACACTACACGTATAGTTATACTCCAATCAAACCGTTAGACCGCATGTGATAGTGGGGGGGGGGG